AGGCTAGAAGTTGCCACCTGCCATGGAAAGAGTTGGAGGAAGCCCTGCCTCCAATCTATGCCAGGACTTAGTGAAACTTCAGAGGAAGATCCTAGATTGATCTTAAGGTAGGAGTTTCCCCAGATGTGAATTAAGAGGAGATAAAGAGAGTTAAATTCACATTAAAATTATTTTTCTTTTATGTGGTGAATCAGGCAAACATGCCGACTTGAATTTCAGGCCTTTATGTCCCCCGTGGATACTCGGCACCCGGTTTCTTTTCTCTGTACACTTTTCGCACCTGCTCTGCATCCCTCATCAATTTAAACTAGAAGTGGCGGAAAACACCCAACCTTGGGGATGCTGGGGTATTTCCACAGCCGTAGAGGCAGCACTTGCATGTTAATTAAGAACGCTAATAAATTTTACCCGAACCAACAACAGATGGGTAAGCATGCCTATGAAATGTCCTAATATTGTATCGTGTTACAATATTAATTAGAATTGCCAGGCTGAGTTTGGGCTGCAAAACTCTGAGCGAGCACTGAGTGAGAACAAAGAAATATAGAAGCCTTAATTTTTTTCATCTACTGTTCATCCAGATTTTTGCAGCCTAGTTCTGGAAGCTGCTTATAGCAAAGCAGACTCTGGCAAAATAGTTCATAGCTAACCATAATTCAAATGTTGGGTGCGATGTTTAATGAGAGACTGCTGAATCAGTGCCAGGTGGTTGCCAGCCAGAGAAGACAGCTAACTCCCTACTACGCAAGCAACGGCCCAGAGAGACTTTTTATTCAGGATCAGTCAGATTGGGAGGTTTAACATTTATTTTGAACTCCACTTTGTATCCATCACTACTTAATAGAACAATGGTGCTAAGATGGGAAACAGATCCTGCAACAAAGCTGAATGTGTACTTTGCCCTCACATTTGCATCAACAGCACCATCAAAGACCCCCACCAAGCAGGCACACAATGTTAGAGACACCCTCTAGTGTGATAGCAGCCATCTTCTGCCGGCCATGTCCATCTGGATGTTATTTATTTGCTTATATATATTTATATGCCACCCATCTCACCAATAAGGCAATCCTGGGTTGTATAAACAAAGGCATAGAATCAAGATCACGCGAAGTACTAGTGCCACTTTACAAAGCCCTAGTAAGACCACGCCTCGAATACTGCAGCCAATTTTGGTCACCATATCACAAAAAAGATATTGACAGTCTGGAAAATAATTCAGAGAAGAGAAAATAAGATGATCAAAGGCCTGGAAACCAAAACGTACGAATAACAACTGTGGAACTTGGGTTTGGCCAGTCTAAAGAAAAGAAGAAATAGGGGAGACATGATAGCAGTGTTCCATTATCTGAGGGACTGCCACAAGGCAGAGGGGGTCAGGTTGTTCACCAGAGCACCAGAGGGCAGGACAAGAAACAATGGTTGGAAGCTGATCCAAGAGAGAAGCAACCTGGAACTAAGGAGAAACTTCTTGACAGTGAGGACAATCAATCAGTGGAACAGCTTACCCCCAAAAATCGTAGGCGCTCCGTCGCTGGAAGTTTTTAAAAAGAGACTGGACAATCACCTGCCTGAGATAGTATAGATCCTCCTGCTTGAGCAGGGGCTGGATTAGAAGACCTCCAAGGTCCCTTCCTATTCTATTCTATTCTATTCCATTCCATTCCATTCCATTCCATTCCAATTTTAACCTTGCAGAAATACTCAAAAATAGCTATTTTGGAACAAGGAAATTTTACCAGCACAGTTGACCAAGACACTGGTGAACTCACACATATCAATAGATTTCTGACACTCTCAAAAGATTTTAACAAACACAATGAGTTTTTAACTCATTACAATTGCTAATTGATGAACAATAGCCAGGTAATGAAATGTCTGCAAGAAAATTACAAAGGTCAGAGAGCACCAAGAACTATACAGTTCTACTCTGAGCTGCAAGTATTCTCTTCTGTTGAAAACAAGCCAGCTTGGTGGCTATCTTTAAAACCTTGCAGAATCCCACTTGTTTCTTAGCAGGGAAGCCAAGAATATCTTGACAAGACACGAGTAAGGAATTAAAAATCTGTGCAGTGGCAATAATTATCTATACCGTTGATATGATATTTGTCTCAAGTTTGCTGTTTTGTCTCACTAGGAGACTTAGGAGCTTAGAGAGAGAGATGGATGCTCTGTACACCTGTACGTTGGATCACAGCCATGCCTGAAACCCAACTCCCCTAAGCTGTTTGGTGAGGGTCTTGTATTCCCTGATTCTCTGCATGAATAGCCTGGGAGGCAGACGTGACCCCTTTGTTGCCTCTTCCTTCCTACTGGCATCATTTGAAGCCATCTGCGATCATCTGGACGCTGAAGTCACTTTGGCGCCTTGCATTTCTGTTTCTTCCCCCTTTCTCTCTCAGACAGGCACACATATGCACCTTGGCTAAGACAAAAGCTGTAATTAAACAAAGCCTTTCTCCTCCCAGTTAATTTTATTTGGGTTCTGATATATTCAGCTGGGAGAGGCATGAGTAGGTGTAAGGCGGAAAGGAGACTTTATTGTACCTACTTGGATTTTCTGCAGCTGCAGTGTCTGGAACAAGATCACCAACAAGGAATTGAAGAATAAGGACCCTATTATTTGAAATAAAAATGACATGTAAACTAGGAAGGACTGATGGATGACTTACCTAGGAAATAGGCAAAAGCTGAGACAATTACAGCTCTCCTTCCAACAAAATCCAGTCCAACAGGAGGCAAAAACAAAGTTCTCCGGCTACATTTGCTACAAAATGTGTGTAGATATATCAAAGGAAGAAATGCAGCCCGGCTGCCGTGTGAGAATAACCTCAAAGCTGGACTTAATAACAACAACAACAATAACAAAGTTGGAAGGGACCTTGAAGGTCATCTAGTCCAACCCGCTGCTCAGGCAGGAAACCCTATACCATTTCGGACAAATGGCTGTCCAGTCTCTCCTTAAAAACTTCCAGTGTTGGCGCATTCACCGCTTCTGGAGGCAGGTCATTCCACTGGTTAATTGTTCTAACTGTCAGGAAGTTTCTCCTTAGTTCTAGATTGCTTCTCTCCGTGACTAGTTTCCATCCATTGCTTCTTGTCCTGCCTTTAGACGCTTTGGGGAACAGCTTGACTCCCTCTTCTTTGTGGCAGCCCATGAGATTTTGGAACACTGCTATCATGTCCCCCCTCGTCCTTCTCTTCATTAAATTGGACATACCCAATTCCAGCAACCGTTCCTTATGTGTTTTAGCCTCCAGTCCCCTAATCATCTTTGTTGCTCTTCTCTGTACTCTTTCTAGATCCAGAAAGTTGCCCAGTTGGTCTTATATACAAACACAGATTCTTTAAAACTAAACATAACCTTTCTCGAAAGAAAGCTTTTGAAACAGCACCAGAAATGTCCTTCTAAATTGCAGAACTCATTGAGGAAACCAATTTTATTTTATTTTATTTTTTTTAAAAAAGGGGGGGGAAACAGTCTGCAAACTGGTGCAGCACAAATTCATCAGGATTGCGCACAAAGAAAATGTGCTTTGAAGGAAAAAAAACAATATATTTTCCTGTACATTTAGAACTCCAGCCTGAAGAGTTACACAACAGATTCATCTAAAATGTAAAAGGAATTAACACAATCATGGTATTGTAATTGTTTTCCCTCTCTAATGGCTCTGTCGATAGTGACCCCCCTGGGGTACGCTGGTCAGCTATGTTGTCATAGGGATCCGCAAAGGCTTGAAGAAGTGTTATTATTTAAATCAGGGGTAGTCAATCTTGGCTCTTTTATGACTCATGGACTTCAACTCCCAGAATTCCTGAGCCAGCTCAGGAATTCTGGGAGTTGAAATCCACGAGTCATAAAAGAGCCAAGGTTGACTACCCCTTATTTAAATCTTGAATCTTAGGGGGTCCATGGCTATGGTGTGGCCACAAAAGTCATTTAAAGGGGGTCTGTGATCAAGAAAAGGTTGAAAACCACTGGTTTAACCCATTTTATCTCACCCTCCAAAGCCAAATGCAAGCGATTCTCTTTCTGTGATCAATTTAAGTCAGCTACCCTGAAAGTCCGGCATTTTTATTTGGTTTCATTGGACTCTATTCTCACCAAATAACGGGGTTACCCATTCATAAAATGGCCACTGCAAGAGCTTATCCAGAACCCAAATGCCTATTTCTCAGGAACCCAATAATTGAGATAGCTCCCTCACTTCACCAGATCATACCTGTGACTTTTTTTTTTCTATAGAGGTAGACCAGCTTCCAAACTAAAGAATGAGCTTTAATCACCTTTTTTTTAAAGGACTTTTTTTGGACCTACACAAATCCCAATATACTTTCTTGAAAATGGATGATGTCAGAAGCCTGCAGTTTGTCTACCTTCTATTCTTCTAAGAATCTAAGTTAAAACGAATAAGGTGGGGCAGAGAATTTGGCAAGCACCAAGGGAGATGTGTCATGTATGTGGTCCCCACATGGTCTAACCTTGGACTAAGTCAGTGGTTCCCAACCTTTTCTATACCCTGCATCCCTAGAACGCTTCCGATATATTCTCGCACCCCTTACAAAAGTTCGAAATAACGGCAACAAATTATGCATATACATAATATCATCTCGCACCCTCCCGGGGGTACAAGCACCCTGGTTGGGAACCCCTGGACCAAGGGGTGACTGACCAGCACACAAGTTATCTTGTTCAAATCTGCTTCTTCTTATTCACCAGCCCCACTGGGCCCCTCAGTAGGAAAAGGACATCACAAAGCTCTGAGAGTGGCTATATACAAATGTGCTCCGTTTGGTCACGGTTAACTTAAATTACAGTTTATGGAATTAACTGATCCATATACCAACCCCTTGGGTGGGGTTCATATGACACCTTTTGCTAAAACACGATTGGCTAGTTCTGGTTGAATGTGTTGTGCAAATACATACTCTGGGTTTACATAAAAGGCTTTGGGGTAACTGAATTAACCCAGTTTGTCAAATTCATACAATGTTATGAACTATCAACTAAGCAACGGGGTTTCCACACCGTTCTAGGAGAACGAAGTTTGAAAAAAAAGTATTTAATGAAGTGAGTAGTAGATTGGAAAAGCAGTATTTAATGAAGTGAGTAGTAAGTTTGATAAACGCAGTCTTTAATGTTGTAGGAAGTTTGAAAAAAAGCAATACTAAATAGTCTGGAAAAGCAGAATCTGATAATTTGGAAAAAAAAGTAAAGTGAGTAGTAATTTTTTTTTGGGGGGGGGGTGGAACAGTACTTAATGAAGTGAGTTTGGCACGTTGCAACGCAGCTGCTCGATCTGTAACGGAGCATAAACTAGTGTACAGAGGGGAAAGGCCACGCAACCCCACGGCTGCCAGCAGGGCAATTCCCTGCAAAGACCTGTAACCTCCACCGATTCCAGCGGGCCTGTTCTTGCCAGCCGACCCGTCCAAAAGCCTACGCTGCGATCCGCTCCAGGAGATTCCTCCGCTGAAGCGGAGGTATCGGACGCTCGGCCGGAGAGAGAGGGAAAAGCCGGAGCCGTTGGTGAGCTTGTAATAGGAGACAAGCGTCCGTCACTGTGGAGCTAGTAGCAGGGCGGGCACAGCCCAGGAGTAATAGCAAAAGCGAAAGTAGCTGGGCGGCTTGGCGGCAACAGCAGCCGCTTCAACACCGACGGCAGCTGCTTAGCGAAAAAGCAGAAGTTAGTTTAGGCTTACGGGAAAAAAAAAAAAAAAACAATAGCAGGGGGATTCCGGCCTGCCCCAACAGCCCTGATTGGTCGAGATGGGCTTCCCAGGAGGAGAAGGCGGCGGCGGGGGGGGGGTCGTTGATCCTCAGCATAAAATACCCGGGAAGGAGCGGAGCAGAACTGTCCGGAGCGCAGCTTGGTGCGCGCGGCGGGCCGGTTAGACGGCTGTTTCCCTGCAGGCCAGGCGTGGCCCGGCTCCTGCTGACTTTTGGGACGGTCCAGCAGGGCCAAGCAAGACCACCTGCCCGGCGAAGCCGCCTTCTGAAGTCGGCCAGGTGAAAGGAAGGGAGGGAGGGAAGGAAGGAAGGAGGGAGGGCTCTGCAAACGGGGCAGGGGCAGCGGGAGAGCCGCACGTGCTCCTGCAGGTGGGCGCCAGAAACGCGGGAGAAGCGAGACCCGCGAAAGCCCCCGATTCCTCCTGCCGCGTTTCCACCCGTGACTTTTCTATGGGAGTCAAAGCGTTTCCAGGGGTGGACCCTGCGAGGTGACGGCGGCGCGGCTGAACCGGGAGGCGGAAAGGACTTGCCCCCAGCCTTGGGGCCAGGGTGCGGCCGGGTTAAGGAAGCGGAGCGTGGCCTTGAAGCAGCCAGGAGCTGAGCGCCTTCCTGCCAAGGTAGGTTTGCCCCTCATCTTCTTCAGGGTAACCTCTTCTCTCTTTTTGGCCGTGGGATTCCTTTAGTAAGTGCAACGAGTGGGAGCTTCCAGCTGATGGCTGCATCTTGATCAGGCAAGGAAAAATTCCTTCTGGGCTGTGAGGGCCTTTCCTGGTGCATCTGGGCAGGGCCATGAGAGAAGAAGACAGACGTGTGGAGTCATTTATTTCTTTACTCCTCGTCTTGGGTGAAGCGGCCACGATTCATCCCATGGTGCCAAGTCTGGTATTCCCTTTGCCTTGCCAGAAATTAATAGGGTGACCTCAGGCAACCAATCTGCAACATGGGAATAACAGCGATCGTTTTAGAACTGCTGTAAAATGAATCTCAGAGCACCCCCTCATTCCCAGGACCAGAAGTATCCTAGATACAGATGTGCTTCTCAATAAGTAATAGTATTGTACAGGAAAGCAACTCGTACAATAACTAAATAAGATTGTCGCTTGAATTAAAAGGAAACATGTTGATCCAACTCAGTTTATTAGAACTGAATATACAAGTTCTTCTAAGAGCCCTTATTTCTGCCAGTTGCCTACCATATTAAAAAAAAAACAAAGTTGTGTTTTGACTCTCTCCTGCCTCTTATTTATATATTTATTTTTAAGAAAAAAATGTATTTGGGGAGAAATAGAAGCCAAACTGCTGTTATTTGGATGTAAATTACTTCCCCCATGCATTAGGGGAACTTTTTTTTTTTTTTGATGGATTGAAAGTTTGTGTCTTTCAGAAGATGAAGTTTTCCCCCTTCTTGCATTTCCGTTCCAGAAAAAACTGCTATTCTTAGTTTCCTTAGTTTTTATCTGTTGAAATTATGCAACTTTTAAAGACACAGCTTCTTTCAGAAATAGATTCCTATAGATCCGATTTCCCTTCTTGTAGTAAACCTTCCTGCTCTCACATTGAGTATTTTGATTTTTAGGGAAAAAAAACCCTCCCCCAGTGGCTTACCTGGAACATTTTCAGCATCTCTGCTGGAGAAAACACATTTTAAAAAGATGTGAAATTGCTGTCTTTTAAATTGGGGTGCCAAATTGGTGGCATCTAGTTGGTTGGTGGTATTCACTGGTGTTCTTCATAACCACCAGCAGCAATTTATTGCCACCATCTGCACTAAATAATTCTATTAATGTTGTTGAAATCGGCCAGTGAGCTGAATTCAAAAGAAGATTGGATTTCTGCTTTTTTGATTATCAAGGAAAAGGAATTTCATTAGAAACAAGTGGATGATTTTTCCTCTACTAAACAAAAGGTGTTCTCTTTTGCATATGGCCAACCCTATGTGGGTCCTGTTGAAAAAGGAATATTCTTCTGTAGCGCTAATGCCAACTCCAGGCATTTTGTATGTAGGCTTAAGTAACCCCTCACTGAATTAGAGAGCCTTTAATACAAAATTACTCAGTTTAAGGCTAAGCAGAACAAAATGTCCAAATGAGCTGAGGTTTTACACGTTTAGGACGAAGGTATTGGTTCCAGATTTAGTCATAACCTGAAAAGGGGCTATTGAAATCAGCAGCTTGTAAATTAGTCATGAATGACTTCAGACCCATTGATTTCAATAGATTTACTCTTGTTATGACAACGCCTGGATCAAGCCCAACAACCACAGGTTGAATAATGATCCAGAATGATTTGTGTGCAGATTGTTTTCAGGAGTTCAGAAATAGCTTGAGGAGAATTTGGCATGAGACTGTTTCTCTTGTTTTAAAAAAAGAGGAAATTGAAGAGGTAGGAATAATACACTGGTATATATGTGTTCTGTTGATACTTGTCTTTTTGTGTCTTTTTTTTTTTAAATTCTTTTATGCGCCACCTCCTTAAAAGGGTTGGGTTGGCTTTGTGAAGATTAAAGTACAGTTTAGAAAATCTAAGATTGCGGCTATGATCTAAGATGGGAATACTAATAAAACTACATGGCATTAGGTAAGACTACTGGGCTTTTCGGATAGGTGTTGATTTGATCTCACTGAAACATGATGCATATATGATGCAGAGCTCTGTTCTTCATAAAGGGATGTGGTTTTGATGTAAGTTGTGGCTTCTTAGATAGCTGAACGTATCAGAGTTCAGTAAATGTTCACCATATCCTTTTGAGTGTGGCTCACTTTCAAACTAAAAACCTTTTTAGTTTTTTTCAACTGGGCTTTTAAACAGTATTTTCTGGTTTTCTTCTTAAAACTGAAAAATGCACATGCATACAGTATGTGCAAATCTCCAGCCATATTACCAAAGAAACGTATGCAAAAAGTACCTATGTTGAACATCTACAACAGTGATTGGAAATATTCCTCTTTAATGTTATTGAACTATAGTTCCTAGCATGCCTCATTTTTGATCATACCGCTTAGAACAGGGGTCTCCAAAGGTGGCTACTTTAAGGCTTGTGGACTTTAACTCCCAGAATTGCTAGTTGAGGAATTCTGGGAGTTGAAGTCCACAACTCTTAAAGTGGCCAAGGTTGAGGACCCCTGGCTTAGAACATCTGTAGGGTCACTGCTTTCCATCTCTGCTATATAATCCTATATTGCCGTTCCAAAGCAATACCACAGTATTAATGTTTTACGTCATTAATACTGCTACTCCAGTGTTCTTAATCCACATGCCTTCATTATCTACCTAACATGCTAAAATAGGTTAAACTAAAATGAATATGGAGTACTATGGAAGCCTATACTTATAGTAATTGCATTACTCTTTCAGACTTCTTTTAAAAAATGGACCTCTTGAAAGAGAATGTATTCTAAACCTCAGCAACTTTAAGCTGTATGCACTTCAACTCCCACACTTCCCTAGCCAGGATGCTGGCTGGGGAATTCTGGGCATCAACGTACATGCAGTTTAAAATTGCTAAGGTGGAGATATACTGCTTTGAGAAGTTTAATACCGGAAGCAGTGCTGAGAAGTGAAAAAAGGGACTTATGACCATTTTTCACACGACCGTTGCAGCGTCCCTGTGGTCATGTGATCAAAATTTGGACACTTGCGCAACTGGCATGTATTTATGAAAGTTGCAATGTCCTGGGGTCATGTGATCACCTTTTGCAACCTTCTGAGAAGCAGTCATTGGGGAAGCCAGGTTTACTTAACAACCATTTTACTAGGATAACAACTGCAGTAATTCCCTTAACAAGTGTGGCAAGAAAGATCACAAAATGGGCCAAACTCAATAATTGTCTTGTTTAACACTAGCTCAGTTGTGGTCGTAAGTCGAGGATTATCTATAAAATGTGAGAAACTGAACATATTATCCCTGATACTTTTGAAATTAGACAGGGGGCCTGAGAATCCTATAACAATTCTACTAAAAGTACTTAGGAATGTCACTCATTGCTTGTGCCATTGATACAATTGCCAAGCACGTAATGTGAAGCATGTCCCAGTCAATCCAGCGCTTGTTTATAGCACAGTCTCAGGTGGAATCACCTTATCTTATTTTGGAGTGAAGGGTTGAGTCTACAGATTGGAGGGATGAGTGGAAATACCCAGGGAGAGGTGGAAAACCTATGGCCATCCAGAGATTAATGAAATACTGGGCCCATGCTGGCTGATGCTAGTGGTACTTAGACCCTTTCAAGGGCGATATACCTTTAAGAGTTACACAGAAAGGTGCTTTGATTCCTTTTATTACTGGAGCTTCAGGAATTTGTGGAATATGTGTGTTTATTGGAGCCAAGGATTTGGCTGTTGTTAGCGGCCCATTCCCCCAACGCCAATATTTTTCTCCTTCATTGAGGTCCTTCTCTCTGGTCCTCCATGTCAACCCTTCTCATTGTTCCCACAAGAGTCTCTTCCTCTGTAGGTTCTCTTCGTCTCTTATTTCCTGGCTAATAATACAATGGGTACATCTGCTCTGCAAGAGAAAGGGTTATAAGGAAGTTGAATAGCAATAAAAGATTTGAAATATGACCCAGGTAAATCCACTTGGCTGCACCCCAGAGAATACAATAGCTCTGGGGAACTGGGTGGCAACAGGCAGGAGGAAGATCATGGATACACAGGAAGACTCCTCCCCTTCCCAAGTTCAATATTTTTTCTTGTATGCAACATCAATAAGGTGAAAAGGGGATGGGGGAGAAATAATCCATCCCAAAAAGGTTTTGCAGCAGGAATGGATTGTGGCCATGGAAAAGGCCTGTTCTGCTTGCAGAGCAATTATCGAGTTGCTTGCATGAGTGATGTTGGGCTAGATCTCTGATTTGCAAACATTTCTCTCCCGCCATTCAATACTGCATTAGCAACATTTCCAAACAAGTCTTGTGGGCTGAAAGGTGTTCTTGGTACGCTTTCAGGCAGAAATCTTTCTGCACACCTGGTGCTTTCAATCTACAGGTGGCTTGGGCTTCTTATAACGATACCTGAAATGGAATATGTTGCAACACACTGTTAATTAACTGGTGAAAATCATTGCAACAGGATGTGGTGACAGTCAGTTAGCTCGGATAGCTCTGGAAGATTTGACCAATTTATGGCTCAGATCTACCAGAACCTGTTTGCCATTGTCCTAATAACTTTCTGGATCAGAGTTAATCGATTTTGAAGCAGAAGAAGTCTGTGACTTTCCTTACCTATTTTCTGGTTCCTGAATTTCCAGGGATGACACTTTTTGATGGTACCAGAGCACACCTACCGTTCCTAATTTACTTAATCCAAATCAACTAGCAGTCACAGTGGAAATGGTCCGAGCCATCTTGTTTTGATGATGATGAGATGGGTGGCTGATGTGAAAAGGGGACAAAGCTTCAGTCATGTAGTTATGGCTCCTTTATTAGTTTTCTTAACTCTTCTAGGCAGCTAAAGTCTTAATCCAGTATTTTGTTTCCTACAGAGGCCAACGACCTGCCTTACAGGCTCACATGCAGGAGATGGAGGCATAGATGTCTCCTGATATGGCTCTCCGCAACTGGAACTTGGAGGCAAGCTACCCCTCCCAACCGGAAAGTAACACGGAGTCTTCAAGATTAACAGCCCTTAAGAAATGTGTCTGTCAGGAATTTGCCATATTTCTATGTAGGCCATCCATGTTGCCGGTCATCACATCTTATGGTAATGAATCCTGCCACTTCATGATGCACTGTGTGAAGATAAAGATCCGAACCTTGAAAAGCAAGATCTGAGTCTTCAGACGGATATGTATCCAGCTGCTGAGACTTTGAGATGGGTTTATTGACCTTCATTGAGGTTTGTCTACTTGCAGGATTTAAGCATGCAGTGTTACTGTCACTGAAATGATCCTCACACTCTTGCACTGTGCCATACGCGTCGCTGTCCTGTGAGATTTGCAGTGTGCAGCCATGTCTCTCCAGCCACAAAATCCACCTCCTCCTATTTTGCTTTCAATCTGTTACCAGCTTCTGCAAAGGCTTAAGAATGGGCAACGGAATCCCAAAAGCAGCTGTTTTGTTCCATTTTCCAGCTGCCCTTGGATTCCGTTCCTTGCTCTTTTGCCCACTTCTCCAGGATTTCATTCATTCTCTTCTGTAACTTATGGTGTAGCGAACTGTTTGAGGAACCACTGGAAGAAACAATATTTTTTTTAAAAAAATAAAGCACAAAGACCCCATTCTGTTCAATCATGAGAACTAGAAACTTATTTATAAAATGATAGGCAATAAATTCAACATACACCAAAAAAGTCTGAGCTGGCTACCCCCAAGAATAATGGATGCTGCAGGACAATCTGTTCAGTGGCAACAAATTAGACTTTGATTTAAACAGACTGGTAGTTCTTAAATCAGCTAAATATCAAGGATGAAGTAAATGTTGGGTAGAAGCATGAAACGTAGTAGTAGTAAAAAAAACCATGTTTTCCTCCTGGCTGATTCAATCTCGGGAATAATCTTGAAAGGTGAATTTTGCTGCTGTTCCTTCATGAGCTGCACAGTCAACTTAAGGAACTAATTTCAAAGTCATTGCCATTTGGGGGTGGCCTTCCCTACATGTATTAAGACTGTAACTCCTAGAAATCTTAGCTTATTTGGAGAGTGTCAAGTTGGGAGAAGATGATCTTTGCCATAACACTAATTCATGGACAATTGGTCTCTCAGTGGCAATTCCTCACTTGTTCGGGATAGCTGTCCTGGTGCATAGGGTTTTGTGGACTTCCCGAGAGCACACAACAGCCTGTGGTTGCCAAGTGTTGTGGTCACATGACAATTTTTGTCTAAAGACTACTTTGCTCAGCAACAACAATTCCAGTCCCAGTTAGGGTCATTAAATGACTACCTGTACTTCCAATGGAATATTAGTGAGGGAGCCTCCTCTCTGTTGAAGGTGGGAGCTTTGGTAGGAGGTGAAAGGGAACAGACTGAGTGTGGGACTGTTGATAGCTTGAGTTACAGCATTGTGTGTGTTTGTGGAGGAGGAACTCCTTCAGGTTTCCTCATACTTTTCTGTGCAGTGGTGATAACAAGCTATTTCCTGGGCAGAAGTCAGTAGAGCTGGGGCCTGCAGATGTTGCAGTAGGCTAGAGTTCCCTTTAAGGCAAAGTGAGCAGGATGTAATGAAGCAGGCATGAATTTTCCCCAAGTTCAGAGGAAACGAAATAATGAGTTTGGAAATGGCCTGGCTGAGTGGGCCTAGTGCCTGGGAGGATAGTATTTATTATTTGTCTTTTCTTGGGCTTGGAAACTGAGCCAGATCAGATCTGGTTACTCCAAAGACAAGGCTAAACTCTGAAGTGAGAAAAAATTCTCCAAGTGAGGCAGTGGTAAACCACTTCCCCGTTGCTGCCAGGAAAACGATGTGAATTTGGTCAAGTAATCAAGGGATTGATTAATTTCTAAGTAACCTAACGAGTAATCTGAAAAGTGAGTTTTGCTGCTTCAGAGGGGTCAATCTGGATTTAGATACCTCAGAACATGTCCTATGCTCATTGTGAGGCCAAAAGAGTTCTTTCAGCATGACTTTATTTCATTCATTCATTCATTCAATTTCTATAGCCTCCCCTTCACACCAAACAAGTGACTCTGGGTGGCATACAATAAACCTAAGCAGTCAATAAATACCTAAAACCATTACATTATTAGAACACATTAAAGCCATAAAAAAACTATAAAAATAGAGCATGAGGTTCTAACTAACAAAATAAAACACACCATCCTTGGAGGCAAAACTGAGGGATGAGAAGGTGCTTTCAATCATGCCAATTTGTGTACTCGTCAAGGAGTGCTTTCCAAAAAAAAAAAAAAAATGTGTAGGGATACAGTTATTTTTCTTCCTGATCAAAAATGAAGGCAGATGCCTCTACTCTGCCAAAATAAGCTAACATCCTGAGCCTCTTGTCCAAATCTGAGCCTGACTGGGATGCTTATCATTTTCCCAACAAAGGGGGCTGTATCCTTAAAACTGCTACTGTTTCCCTCATCCTTTAAAAGGTAGGAAAGCTCTTGCACCCAATATCACTGGGCTACAGAGACTTGAAGAGAGTTCTGTAACAAGGTAGTCTCTGACTTAAGATTGATCACCATTTGAAGTTACAACTAGCCTCCCCAGGGTTATTTAGTGCCCAGTTTCAAAATTCCGACTCCCAGTCATGGGATCATATTTTGGATGTTTGGTAACTGAGCGAAATTTAGAGCTGTTTGCAGCGCTCTGTTATGTGATCATGATTTGCAATGTTTATTTCTGTTTCCAACAAAAAAAATGCCCATTGGGTGCAATGGGTTTGCTTAATGACTCTCAGGTTCACTTGCTACAAAAGAGGTTGTAAAATCAGTTACGTGGTAACTCACTTAACTATCAGCATGAGTTACAACTGTAAGTCTGACTTCAATTCTCTAGCTTGCATCATAAATAATTACTATGGATGCTTGTTCTGGGATAAGAGATCCCTGGTGCCTCAAGATTTTGCTGAACGACAGTTCTCCATAGGGTTGAAAGGGCAGGGTAAGGCTGTTGTGAGGACTGACATCATTCTACCCCTTTTACAGAGTCAGCAGGAAAACAGCTGAAACTTCTCATCAAAATGGGGAAAGCCCCCAAATCCAGTGCTTGGTCCTCGCATATTAATTGTGACGAGAAGGAATCCTGAGGGTAAAATTTTCTTCAGGGTTGTCCCACTTGATAATTTTTCCTCATGGATGGCATTTGAACATTTTTTTTTCTTCCCCAAACGAATTGAGTTGATCCTAAAAAAAACAGCCCAGTTGCCTCTTGAAAAAGCACCTTTGGGATAACCATGACGTGGATGACTGAGAATCTCCATAGACAAATTGAGGTGATGCGAGATAAAACTGTAATTCCCCCAAATGGAAGGCATTTCTGCTCATTGGGGGAGGGGATCAGAAGGTATAGACTGAAAGGCCCTTGGGCAAACTCTAGCCCAATGGGAACTGGGAGGAGGGTTTTTTTTTCAATCTTTGACTGTGTTGTCATTAAATTAGATTTAATGCCAAGGTATGTGCTTCAGATTAGCCTTGTTGAGTTTGGTGTTCTCCAAATGGATTGAATGCAATCTTCCTGGCTGTAAAATGAGGCCTGATACCTCTGGTAGACATTAAGTTGGGGTAAGTAGCCTCAAAGTCTCATGTGGGAAAAACATGCCTTTTTTTTTTTTTTTGAATGGATGATTTGTTGGGCTTGTCAAGTCAAATTACTCATTGCAACTGATCCAGAATGTTTTTTTCAGTGTCTGCCTTTTTATTTGACATATTTCATTAGTGTTGCTTCTTCTCTTAGGAATAGGTAGACAAGGCAAAAAGCAGGAAGAGGGATGCATGCATGTGGGAACACCACCACCATGAATCAGGTATCTAGATGCTCAGGTCTGGAGGAAGATTCGGGAGGAGAAATTGCCAAGGAATGACACGATCACTCCCGCTGAGCGAGTGGACACAGAGCCACGGGGCTGTCGTGTCTGTCCTCAGCTTTTTCCAAGATCCCAGATGAGCCCATGAAAGGGACTGGAAGCATCTGCTGTTGTGTGATGCTATTTGTGTCTGGTCTCTTATTTACAATAGTTTTAATCCCAGTAGAATAACTGGGAGCAAAGAGATTGTGTTCAGACAACACTTAAGTCAGTTAATCCATTGCTTGTTTGTATACTACCCTGAACCATACACCAATAAATTGCATTTTAGCCTAATGTGTGAACAGAGTCGTCATAGCCGCCAAGAATAGATACAATTTTCCCTACAGTCATTTCCATATCGATGATTTTTAGCATACAGGTAGTCCTTGATTTAAGTTAAAATGGTGTTGAAAAAAGTAACTTAGAACCCATCCTCAAAAGTTACAACCATCACATTACCCCTGTGATCACAGTTGCAATTTGGGTGCTTGGTAACCACCTTGCCTTTATGATAAATGCAGTGTCCTGCGGTCATGTTATGATTCGTGACCTTCCCAACCAATTTCCAATAAGCAATAAGATGGATTTGCTTAATGACCACATGATTTACTTAATGACTGCCATAAAAATGGTAGTAAAATCAGGTCTGGTAATGTGATGACTTGTTTAATGACCAAATCACTTAGCAATTGACCATAATACTGTAATATTTGCTTTTATAATTGATTCATCACCATGAATGATGCTATAAAGTGGTATAAATCGTTATTTTGGAATAGCCTCAAATTGCATAATGTTACACAATAAGGAAAAGAGAAGGAAAACCCTTAAGAGTTTTACACTTTGGATATCATGCCCAAGGCAATTTCTAGCATCTTAACATTAATACTATATAGCATGAAGTAGGGAACTTTAACGTTTTATGAGAAAATATAATTACAGTGTAGACAATTCATTATTGATTTAAAAGCAAAAGCAAACAATGAAATGGTTGGGGTAATAAATTGGTTAAATGTTTAAACAAATATACCCAAGTTTTGCTACTTATTCTGACTGGTGTATACATAGGCCGAAATAGGAATTATCTTGTAACATTACTGTTTGCTAATAAAATACTTATATTAAAGGGTAAGCATTGATTACTTTAGGTTTGCATATAGTAGTGGGGAATCCAACATTTTTGTAAATGACAGAGGATGTACACCTGTAAATAAAAAAATCGTCCAGATTCTCCATGTTTCTGAAATCACGAAATTATAAACAGGAATTCCTGCCCTGATATCTTCCAGGTGCATTTAATGTCAACATCCACCATTTTAATAATTTGACCATGCCAGACAAATGGTAAGTAACCATGCAGTGCTGTCTTTTGCCCAAGTAGAATATTGGTAAAATTACCTCAAAATTATTGCTTTGATGGCTTCCCTGGCAGGACTCCAGTTTGAAGCCATTATCCAGCCTTGTCTTTTAACTGGAAAAAACTGGCAGAGTGAGTTTTGTGGATAAAATAATATGAATGCTTATTATTGACTGCCATGTTCCCATAATAGCTATTTATATTAGTACCTCCAATCTTAAACACTGATTTAGAACCAAACACAGATTTGGCTATGAACCAATTGCATTTTTGCCCAGGGTGTTACGGTCATGGTGAGTCAGCCCTTCCATTATACAAATGGTAACAGTAGCTAAGGAGGCAGATGCTGAGGATGGAATAAAGAATGGTAGCGACTGGGCAGATGAGAGAAGCAACATGGTGGTGAAAGAGTCATGACTTAGAAAAGCCAGTCTGCTGCCATCTTCCATGAGTGGTGGTTTTTATCTATCCAACGGTTCAGATTGTATGAGTTAATGAAATTTATGGGAAAAGGCTGTTCTCTACCCTTTGTCACCTCTCCAGTTGAAGCGAAAGGAACTCAAGATGGCGCTAATTGTTACTGTTTCTGGACTGAGACTGAAGAACCAATTTCCTTTGTGCATTTATTCAGAAATGGACACGTTCCACTAAGTCAGTGTTTCTCAACCTTGACCATTTTAAGGCATGTGGACTTCAACTCCCAGAATTCCACAGCCAGCAATGCTGGCTGTGGAATTCTGGGAGTTGAAGTCCACATGCCTTAAAATGGTCAAGGTTGAGAAACACTGCACTATGTTTACTAATCACGCATAGGATTGTGGTATAAATGGGAACTGAACAGCAACTATCAGTAATAGAATAATAATACAATATTGTTAATTAATAATAAAAAGTTTTTTTGTTAATTGCATCTTAGATACACAATTATCCATTTTGAAAATGTTAAGACAAAACTTCGCATTTTTAAAAGATGAGAACAATCCAAACTTACCTGTACTAGGGCCTCAGATGGTAGCATTATGTCAGTGGGTTAACTGTTCTACTCGACACTTGTGACAGTTTTCATTGCTGCAACCATCCGCACATCACACACCCCCTCCAGAAGGGTGCCAATTATGAGCATGCAGAGAAGGACTGAACACCCAACATCTTCCACCACTGCTGACAGTCAGTAGTTGGTCTGGGCTAAGCAGGAAATCTCAGATCATCTCTTGACTGTGGATGGTGTAGGGGAATTTCTTTCCCTTTTCTTGTTAGTGTCTCACAACCGAAAGAAAAACAGTGAAATAAGAATGGAAAAGTAGAATGAAGTTATCTGTGAACTCGGTGCTAAAAAAATAAAATATGTATTGCTGCTCAAAAAAAAGCCTGAAATTTGTGATCTATCTTTTTTCAAGGGAATCCGAACTCTGCTTCCTGATTTGTAACAATATTTTTGCTTCTGCTGTTTAGGGGGGAAATGTAGCACACAGAATTTTCCATAGTAGAAAATTATCATCTTCGTTGATTTATATTCCCCAGCACTGCGCAACCCTTGTGTATTTGGGATTGGGCGGCATATAAATAAAATTAAATACAAATAAAATTAAATACAAATATTAACTCATAAACTTTAAATTTATTTGCATTCCTCAAGGTTAAAAATACAAAAAGGAAGAAAAGGACTTATAATGCTGAATTTACAGATAGTGCAAATCGGATGAAAAACTTTGGGGATGACTCTTTCTAGTCTTTCCAAATGTTGCTGCTAGTTTTTAATCTCTCATAGTCCTAAGAAGAAAGCATTGGCAAGTCATTTCTGAAATCTTACTAAGAAAACTGCAGGGACTTGTTCAGATAATTGCCAGAAATCAGCACTGACTCAAAGGCACCAAAAAGAGAAATAAAAATGATTAAATATATAAGCAATCCTATTCAACCAAATTTGGTTCTGTCTTAGGCTTACTTACTTTTAGGTGTGCATTCCTGGGATATTATTCAAATGCAGTCAAGCACCAGAAATCTATTGCTTTCACTTATTCTAATTCTGCTTGCTCTGAAGAGCTGAATGCCAAGTAAGACTCAAATATGGTGGCAAAAACCCTTTACACATTCAGTGAATGTGGTGTTTGAAATATCTAGCAATACTGTACATAGAGAATATCCCTTTAATTGGCAAGGAAGAGCTGATTAGGTGGAGAAAATAAGAGGAGCACCCTAATTTCTCAGCCTTGTGTCCAAGAAGGAGAAGGAATTCTGGCTTTCAGAAACCAGCTATTAAAGCAATAATTAATTCACTTGGTGAATATTGAAAGGTGTGAAAAAGTTTTTATTTGATATCTGGATTTGAACCTATGCTTTTGGAATTGGGGCCACTGGAGAAAAGTAGAAAATGAGAGAAGAGGTTTAGATCCCTTAGATCAGGAATTTCTTGTTTTGGCCTCAATAGTTGAATGTTTTTAAAGGATTATTTTAATTAAAAGGGAATCTTAAAAAACATCATAAAGTGCTGACTATACTGAAAATTTATTTTGCACATATGGTTTTAAAAATGAAGCAGCCAAGGCCATGTAAGAGACAAAACAAAAGATTGCTGTTGAGATCAAAGAGGCTCGGCAAGTATAATCTTTCTTCCCTCTGAGTGTCTGATAAGCTGTAACCAAGCAAAAAAAAAAAAAAGCAATATATATCTTTTTCTGCTGGGAAAAAAAAGCAGAAAGAGAAGTGGATGCTTATAATCCACTTAATTGCTTTGTCTTTGTGTGGCATGCTCCTTCAAATATTCTGGACAGTTTGTGCTTTGCCTTGCTTTGCTGCCCAAACATTGCTAAAGCCTCAGTTTCCTTCAAATAGAACTTGGCTTGTAATAATTACATCAATAAACTAATGTTGTTTTTTCAAGAACCAAATTGAAATGGTTTGTTATTGTCTTCTGGAAAATATTTTGGATTTCTCAAGCCAGCCTCCTAATGGTCCAAATTCTATTTGACCAAGCTGAGCTTTCTTCAAAATTATTCAAGGCCATCTAGGTGCTATCCCAAATCACTCCCATAAATATGTCTCATTTTATGCACGTTGTGTTTTCACAAGCCTCTCTCCAGTAAAAGATTCAAAAGCAAATTTACATGATGAATTAATGGACATTATTAACTAGGCCAATAGCATCAACAAAGGACAACTTTATATGTTGCTCTTTGTTGGCCATCTGTGTGGATTATGTAGCAGAAAAAGATACAGTTATAAGTATTACCCGTATATTGCACTGAATGGCTAAAAGCTTAAAGACAACAATGACGAAAATATATCTAACTATAGAAAATGTCACAAAGGATTGATGTCTTTGGTCTTCAAAAGGTCTTGAGGTCTTGAAAAAACTTCAAATATAGAAATTCAATGCAGATACATATGGTAAGCTTTGGATATTCAATAAAAATATGAAATATACAAACAAAAACTATTTCATTATCCACATTTCTGTTTGTATTACTTTTGGTCTAACAATAATGTTTTACTGTTGGTTTTGATAGCTTTCAAGTTTCCTCATGCTTCTTATGAATGAATCTATCTAATAAAAGATAATGCTTATGCTTATGTGATCAAACCTATTCACACAAATCCATATAAATAGACACATTTCCACCTCAGAAAAACTTGACAGCCAAAAACATGCATTTGGAAACAATATATGTAGTCCTTGACTTACAACAGTTTAATGACTGTTTGAAGTTACAACGGCAGTGAAAAAAGTGAGTTTTTCCCATGACCATTACAGCATCCCCATGGTCACATGATCAAAATTCAGACACTTGGCAACTGACTCATATTTAAGATGATTGCAGTGTCCCTGGGTAATATGACTACGTTTTGTGACATAACAAGCAAAGTCAATGGAAAAGTCAGATTCACTTAACCATGTTACTAACTTAATTACTGCAGTGATTTGTTTAACAACTGGCAAGTCATAAAATGGGTCAAAAATTCATTTAACAAATGTCTCACTTAGTAACAGACATTTTGGGCTCAATTGTGGTCATAAGTCAAGGACTACATGTATATGACTTATTATCATGCTGAAGTGAATAGCAATGAAATGGCTTTTCTTGACTGAAATGTTATTATATTCAAATCAGAGTATTAGTCCCTGCAAACTACAATGCCATGGGATATCTCAAAAGAGAGCACTTACTGTGGCATAAAGTTTTCAAGACTAAAAAGTTAATAATGCAGCAAAGCCCATAAACGCCTGACCTGTATTTTCAGGGCTCATACCGTATAATATACAGGTTTCAGACATACGTTAGTCCTATGTGACTCAAACTTGGCTGCTCTCAGATGTTTGGACTTCAACTCCCAGAATTCCCTAGCCACACATCTGAAAGCCGCCAAAGTTGAGAAACATTGCATTAGTCTTAAGAAGCAGCACGACTTAGTATCTTCCAAAGAGAAAGAAAAACAGTACGAAATTGCGTACTGTTAGTCTATTTAAAAATTACATGCAAAAGTAAACGCAGTAACTCCAAACCCACTTTCGAAGTACACTGGTGAGAAGTGGCAAAACACCCCGTTCTATACAGATTTTTTTTCCTGACTTTTCTTTCCCAACGTCACTTCCGTCAAGCTCGTGCAAGGAAACCCCCTCAGTTGCTGCCCTCATGAAGACTGTTGTAGAGTGTTTTTTCCCCCCTCTGTCGCTATGGAGACAGCCGACGGCCGACTGCGTGTGTCAGAGGCCTTGGCGGCATTCAACGCCATTCTAAGAGGAAAGGCCGGAGATGGAGCTGGTGCCTCCG